TTTTTTAACATTTTATTATTTCTTTGTGGATTTCACATCATGTATCTTGATCCCACTCATTTCCTCCAAAAATATGGAATGCTTCATGAATTTGCATGTTATTCTTGCTGCCAAAGCAGGCACTAGTGCTTATATATTTAATATTTATTACAATATACAAAGAGGAAAATGACACAAATAGGGGAATACCATTAGGCAAACTCAAACTGAACTATTTCTACCATAATGGATAATATAGCCAATTTTAAAAAATAAAAAATATACTTCATTAAGTCCCAGAATAAATCACATTCAATTTTCAAAAGATTTCAAAAGAATGTTTAGTGAACCAAAAGACACTTTAAAAGATTCCTCATAAAAAAAAAAACAACCCACCAATTACTAGCAACTTTTTAGTTTAAAAGTCATAGGAAAGAGAAAGAGGGCTGGAGAGATGGCTCAGCAGTTAAGAGCACTGGCTTCTCAACCAGAGGTCCTGGGTTTAATTCCCAGTACCCACACAGTGGCTCACAATCATCTCTAGTGGGATCTAATGCCTTCTTCCAGCATAAAGGTGTACATGCAGATAGAGCACTCATATAAACAAAATTTAAAAAAAAAAAGGAAAGAGGGAGAGAGAGATGACATAACAGGTAAAGGCTAACACACAATCTCCTCTGTACACAGCACCTATAAAATTCTTCTTTTCCAGCCTTCCCATCATTGGAGGGGATCAGCCATCCACCGTCTGCTAACTGAATGCCCTTTCCAGCACACACATCTTTTTTACCAAAGTAATTCTGAATGTCGAACTGAAAATGCTCAGCGTTTTTGCTGGTAATGTTCATGCACTCTTTAGAAACGCCATACATATAGAGCTGTAAAAAACAATAGAAAAATGTGAAAATAAATAAAAATCAAATACAGTCCTAGAATATAAACAAAACTAAATTTATCCAAAATTTTCCATTTAAATACTAAAATAGTCACTATAAAATAGTTAACTGGTCCAGGAGTACAGCTCATTGATAAAGTATGTGCTTAGCATGTGAAAAGCACTGGCTGTGAAGTACACACACACACACACACACACACACACACACACACGAACCCCCTCTGCACTAAGACTATGTTTATAAACAGCTCATGTATCCAAGAGGTGGCTGTACTTTTTATTTCCTCTTGTATTTCCCTCTTGCTAAATGGGTCACAAGAAGGCCCGTGTCTGCCACCCGCAGTGGGGTACTTCTTCAGCAGTACATATGCTAAACTGAATGAAGCACAGCTTAGCATGACCCATGCACCAGGCTGACATGCAAATTCACCAAGTGCTCCATGGATTTAACCCATTATGTCATACAAACAACATGTGCTAGCAATTTCTCTTAAAAGCAAGGAAGGGAAAGTGCAGGGTACTATCAGGAGCTTCATCTCACCCACGCATGCCCAGCGTAGTGTATTTTCCTTCGGCCAGAGTGGCTCTGACTCCCGCGTGCATTGGAACATGACTCTTCCAGTCAAATTAGGTGACTTTGGGTTTGACTTAACCCTCTCTATGCTTCAGTCCTCTCGCCTGACGGACAAGACAATTGTGCATTTCTTGAAGGGGGCTGTGAGGCTGAAGGCAACTGTCACTGAGCCATCTGAAGTTCTTAGGAGTGCCCAAAGTATACAAAACTTCACTCCACACTGTTAGCACCACTGCTGTCACTTCCAGCCTTCTACTCAAATATTCTACAAACAGTAACGTCTTCACTAGACTCAAACATCAGAACCTCTAGAAAGCGCAGGGCTACAGTCACTCACACGTGCAACCAGGGTTGATGAGATTCCTCCAATGCCTATCTCAGAGCACTCAGACCACCAAAGCAAGCAAGCGCTAAAGCACAAACGGCAGTGCTGTCGCACAGACACTTCAATGAGGCTAGGACAGGCCTGCCACTGCAGGCTGAGAAGGAGGAAGCAGAACCGTTTTTCATTTGATCAGCAGTAATTTGTTCATTCTCTACACAAGACAATTTCAGATTATAGCTGACGGCACGAGGCTTCCCTTTGCTGTAAAAGCTGTTAGCATCATAGCATACCTGCTTATGAGAACACGCAGAAGGAACATGGCCTCTTACTGCGGACTGCAGAGAGATCCGAGGCAGGGTGGATGATTTTGTGAGATACAGACTGCCTGGCTGTGGACAGAGATGATGCCTTTCTTTCTTTTTAATTCGCATATTCTGTAGGTCTCTGGCATTCTGAAGGCTTGTCATTAAGTCTGTTAAAGGACAGTTTGCAAAAGGGAAATGGATGCTGAGTTAAAAGGCACAGCCTGGCTAGGCATTGGTGACTCATGTCTTTGATTTCAGCACTTGGGAGGCAGGAGGAGGATCTCTGCAAATCTGAGGCAAGCCTGGTCTACAGAGCTAGTTCCAGGACAGCCAGGGCTACACAGAAAAGCCCGATCCCCCAAAACTAACTAACTAACTAATAAACTCCAGCCAGTCGCAATAGTCCTGGACTTTTTGGGGAAGGTCTCACTCACGCCTTAGCTAGCATTAAACTCTCAGCAGTCTTCCTGTCCCAGTGTCCTGACAGCTGGGTTTATACAACAGCCAGAGGAAGCTGTTTTTGTTTGTTTGTTTGTACTCACAATGCTCTTGACTAAGACTCTTGAGCGGTAGTATTAGACTTGAGCACGTCTGTGCTCATGCATATGAAGGAGATAGGTTAACATGGAGTGTCTTAATCTATCACTCTCCACTTTGACATAAAGGCTCTGACTGCTCACCAATATGACCAGGCTGACCAGAGAGCTCCAGGAATCCTCCTGTCTCGGCCCTTTCTGCACCATAGTTACATATGTGTGCCGTCACACTTTGATTTTATATGGGTACTAGAAATCTGAACTAAAGTTCTCAGACTTGTGCAGTAAGCACTTTATCCACTGAGCCAGCCCCCTAGCTCCTGGCTTTTGTTTAAAAAACAAACGAACAACAAAGAAAACAAGAGTCTGTAAGTCTCTTTGAAAGAAATCATTAGAACAATTTGAACCTAATCTTTGGATTCAGAAAATCTGAAATGTTAAAAAAGGTTCTGAAATTATCAATCACCTTAAAGGGGAATAAATGCTCAAGATAACATTAATAGGGAAACTCGCTGATCTGGTGGTTCTCAACCTGTGGGTCGCGACCCCTTCAGAAGGGTCACCTAAGGCCATTGGAAAACAGATTTTACGTTGTGATTCATAATAATAGCAAAACTAGTTATAAAGTAGAAAAGAAAATAATTTCATGGTTGGGGATCACCACAACAAGAGGAACTAAACTGTATTAAAAGGTGGCAGCGTTAGGAGGGTTGAGAACCACTGCTCTCATCAAAAGGTGAAAACCAGGACTAGCAGATGGCCCAGCAGGTAAGTACTTTCTGCATACGTCTGATGACCTGAGTTCAAATTCCAGAATGCATGATGGAAGGAGAGAATCAACCCCCCAAATCTGTCTTCTGACCTCCACATGTGGGCCAAGACAAGCAAATGTCACTCAATACCTAAAGGCTCTTCCTCACACTCTGTGAAAACTCCAGTGGCCTCTTGGTGGAAGCTTCCTTTGTCACACTGACGAAGGTCACTGTCATTCACATCTTCACCGTCCCCGTCTACGCCCTTGTGGTTCTTTTCCTCTGCACTGATACTCTTGCTATTCCAATGTTCATCTCTGTGAAACTGTGATTTCATCTTGAAAGGGGGGACGAAGACTGTGGTGGATCTGCCTGTGGCTGAGCATCTTGTCCTTTCATTTCTTGAAGCAGAAACTTTGTGAGTCGGCAGGAGTGAAGCTGTAGGATGGCTTGGAGGTTTTCCCAGCGCCGAATGCAAAGGATGCCCTCTAGACAGATGTCCCTGAGCCGGTGCAGTGAAATGAGGACTCTGAGTTTCTTGCCTCTCTTTACTTGAGCTGCATTGGGGAGAGAGCACTGAGTGGGCCTGTGTGACAGGAAATGCACATGCGTGCCTTTCCCACAGATCCTCAGGGCTACCCGCCGAATCTATTCTGGTGACCGCTGTGCTCTCCTGAGTGATGACACCAAGGAACTATAGCACAGTTTTCAAGGCTTTCCGCTGCTCCACAGATTTATACCCAGCCTTTGACTCCACAACCCACCTCCCACAGAAGCCTGCGCGCTGTGCACTACCAGCAAGGGCCCCTCCTCTCTGCACAGCACTCTCCTGCTCTCCACCTATCTGCAGGGGGCTTGCTTGCTAGTAATTCAGTCTTCTCTGGAGCCCCATTCTTCCAGTTTCCAATCCAATCTTTCTCTTTTCTCTCCTCCTGTTATCTATACATTTTCTAACACATCTTTCTAATACATTCTAAATGAATTAGAGAGCTTAACTTTCAACAAAAATTCACCCTTTTCCTAAATTTTACTCAACTTATACTAAAATTTAAAAAAATTACAAATATCTCACCAGAAGGGTCCACAGGTCACGGGCTCTAGAGACATGTGGTGTGTGAACAATCTTCTGTCTTTCATTGTGCCTAAAAAACCGTAATCTACAGCATTAGAGAAAAGCAGGTTTTCATCACCATTTCTGTTATTACATAGTATTGTAAATGTTCATGAAATTTTGATAGACATTGAAGTTTTCAATGTACATTATGGATATTTAATAAGGAATTATTGAATACACTTCATTTGCAAACTAATTTTAACTATAAGCCAAATAACCTACCTTTCAAATCTCAGAGAAATCAATTTTAAATTTAGTACAGTGGTGTTAGCAATCATTACAGTTAGCTAACAGCCAGCTTTAATATTAGCTCTAAAGGTTGGTTTTATGAAGGTTCAGAAGCAAAGCTTTAGATAGTATTCATTCTCAATATGTAATTTAGAGCTATTAGACCTCCAGTAGGTTCACTAATTGGGGATTAGCTAAATAAACTAGGATCCAGCCAGGAGATCAAGAAAGTAAATGTAACTATGCAAATGAACAGGAAATACATTTACATATTCATTAAGCAGCATTCCCTAGCTTTGCAGAGTGGCAGTATAGCAGTCAGTGAGGTTTATCTGGGGCATAATTACAGCTAATTGAAAACTTTCCCCAATACCCTGCCATGACTCCTTGAAATATAGTTGGCATTAGCAATTCTATATCTCTCTACAGACTGTCAAAACAAACAAATAAACAAAACCAGCATTCCCCCCTGCCCCTGCAAAAGCAAATAAGGTGCAATAATGCAGACAGATGTTATTAGAGAATGTCTACAAGATTAAACTGAAAAGTACTGAGTAAGAGGTGGGGAAATTGGAGGATAGCCTGGACTGGGACTCGGGTAGATTTAAGACTCCTCCAAGTACACCTTTCTACAGAATTTATGAATGAATTATGCAAATGTTTTATTTGTTCTTATGTAAGATTACAGAATAAGAAAACTGAGGGTTAGAGAGATGGCTCAGCACTGGCTGCTCTTGCAAAGGACCAGGGTTCAACCTTCACCACCCACATGGGGACTCACAACTGTCTCCAGTTATAGGGGATCTGATGCCTTCTTCTGGCCTCCACACACAACCAGGCACACATATAAATACAGGCAAAATGTCCACGCACATTAAAGAAAAAAAGGACGGATGGAGGGAAGGAGGGAGGGAGAGAGGAAGAAAGAGAGGGAGAGAGAGGGAGACGGAGGGAGACAGAGAGGAGGGAGGGAAGAAGGAAGGAAGGGAAAAAAAAAAACAGAAAATCTAAAGCTGGAAACAAATGAACTTAACCTAAATACAATTCTGCACATGTAGAATTATCCTGACTGACATCTGAAAATAGCCCAATGGTGATTCAACTTTAAGGATTTATAATATAACAACAAAACCTACAAAGAATTCTTATGTTTCCATATATGCCTTGTGAATTTGACAATATTACGGATACTGTGGGAAGGCGGGTATCAAGGGTGGTCTATGGAACCATAGATGAGTACCCACAATGCTCTTAAAAGGACCTGCTATCAGCACTGTTGCTTATGCCTGTTCACTGTCCAAGAGAACCTCTGTACTGCCTGTACATCTTCCCACAGATGCCACATTTATCTCAAGACAGTTTATTTTCACAGTTGGGCTGAGACTCAGTAGCTACTTTTTTTAGTTAGAGGATTACCATGGGTCCCTAAGAGAGTAACAACGAACTAGTTATTCAGATTTGGGGAGTCAGCAGACTTCTGCCCTTTTAGAAGAACTGATTTTCCTAAGCATTATTATTGTGTGTGCATGAGTGTATGATGGTGTGCAGGTAAAGATGACAGGACAACTTGGGAAGTCGGTTCTGTCCTTCTGAATGTGAATCATGGGGATTGAACTCAGGCCACCAGGCTTGGTGGTGGTAAGTGCTTTTACCAGCTGAACCGCTTCACCAGCTCAAGGTTTTTCCTAAATAAATGAAATAAGGTATGACTACAAGGAGGATAGTAGCAATATGTTTGCCTGGGGTAACATTTAGCTTTTCAACAAGTAGAATTTAGGTAAGTCTGTATCTGGTTCTGTATGCTTTCTCATAAGTAAGACTTTGCAGACTAAGAAGTGATGTCACTGGCAAAGGTGGATAGTGCTGGGCAACAAAATTTGTCAACTTGGAGGTGTGGAGAGGACTCACAGGTGCTGACTGTCCTTGTATAGGACCTTGAGTTCAGTTCCTAGCACACAACTAAAGGTAACTCCACCTCTGGGAAACCTGATGGCCTTGGCCTCCTGGGGACTGCAGTCATATGCACAGACTCCTGCACAAACACACACACCACTACACAAATGTTTTTGTTGGGAAAAAAGAGAAAGAGGAAAGTCAGAAGACTGTAGGGGATGAAGAGGAAAGGAATCAATTATATACTGTGAACTGAAAGATGGAGTCAAATTAGAACTAAAAAATGCCCATCTCATTCGGTAGCTGAGATCACATGACTTAAAAAGACCAACTTTGGTGAGGTGCTGTAAGTCCCCAGTTTCATTAAGTTTACAGTCACTATCTCATAAGCATCCTACCCTTTGCAACTAGAGTTTTCTCAGTGCCCTACTAGGCATCATGGACGAAACATCCACGTAACAAGAAAGGCAAATGTGTAACATTAAACCACTCTGCAGACACAAGAACTGAGAGAGAAGTTTAAGAGCATCAGGCAGAGTACTTGATGAGGAAAGAAATGAATAAAAACAAATTTACCATCTGGAGCACTTTTTAAAGGCTTTAAGGATTTTCCTTTATTTTCTATTATCCTGTCAAATTCATTTAATAAGCTTCTTTTGATTGGCGGTTGTCCTAGAAAGAAAATTCCATACATGTTTGTAATATCATGTTATACCAGTTGTATCTTTCAAAAGCTTAGATTTCACTTTTTAAAACTAAAACATGTTAACCAATGAAACAAAACAAAACACCACCATTTAAGTATTATAAAGTACATTTGTAGAATGCTTGGTGAAGTGAGCCTGTTTCTGGCAGGGTGGCTTGTCATGAACTGACTTCCAGGCCTCACTCTGTAATATGACAGGACTCGATCAGAAGATATATGGTAACTCTGACACTCTGAGTCCACAAGCTTGCTTAAATCACCCACTTAAGGAATGGAATGTTAGTTTTGACATCTATCATGAATGCAGTGTCAGCTGATCCAATACTTGAAAGATCCTTTCTAGTCTGAGACATTTTGAATTAACTAATAGTTTCACTAAGACATTAGATATACACTTAAAAGAGAAACTAGAATATTATCTAATGGCATTTAGAGTAGGATACAGGGCCAGAGAGATGGCCCAGGGATTACGAGCATTGGCTGCTCTCCCAGAGGAACCAGGTTCAGTTCCTAGCACCCACATAGCACTGGTACTTTTTGTAACACCAGTTCTAGGGGATCCAATGCACTCTTTTGGTGGGCACCAGGCATGTATATGGTGCACAGATATACATGCAAGAAAAACACCCACATACATAAAAAATTCTGAAAAAGAATATGGCATTATTTATTAAAACCACTGCATTTAAAATATTTGTGAGGGAAGCAAGCAAACACTAAACTCTCTGCATAGATAAGTAATGTGTCAAGGTCAGTTTAATAACTTATTTTAAATTTTGTGATTTAAAAAATTTAATCAATTAATTGATGGATGTTTTTGAGGTAGAGTTATACTATTTAACCCAGGCTGACCTTGAATTTAAGGCAATCCTCCTGTTTAGGATCCTAAATGCTGGGATTACAGCTATCAAATATTAAGCCTGGTAGTAGTAAGCACGATTTTATCTTTACAGTTCTTGTGAGAGGTAGTAACTACATTTTATGGATACGGAAACAGGCTCAGAGAAATGAGGTAACACGAAGAGTGCTGTAACTAAGTAGTCCACGAACTCCCTCAGTAAGTCACTAGAAGCTATTCTAGAAGCCAGTTTCTAACTGCGAGAACTGGATCTCTGCACACACATGGGAAATGTTAACAGTACACCTAGCATAATTTCTCAACTGCAACTATTAGCAACCTCTAAAAATACACTAAAAGAGCCTTAAAATATAACCTATTTGTAGACTTATAGATATCAAGGGCAAAATCACTGTCCTCCAAACTCTACAGAAAATAAACAGTCTTAAACACTCTAACCTGTGATACTACTGAGGACGGAACTCTTGAGACAGAGGCCAGTAGACCACAGTAAAAGTAAATCCTTACCAACTGCATCAACAGCCACTCTTCTTTTCCTAGTTCTCGAACTGAACAAAGCCTCGTTTTCGGGGTAGGTAGACAGTGAGTGTTTGACATGACTTGGTTCAGAATCCGTCAGCTCATCATCTTCCATAAAAGCTTTGGCAATCTCCACTGCTTCTGTTTCAAAGTAATTCTCCGGCTCTTTAGCGGAAGTACAACCGTCTCCGACATTTGTTCTCACAGGAACATCAGAAACTCCCATTTTACCAGTTTCTGCTTCTATGGTTTGAGGTAAGGTTTGTTCCTTTTCCAAAAGATAAGCCTTCTTAAGGGACACTTTGGTTCCTAATACCAACTGTGTGTCTTCCTTAAGCCGAGGGAGTTGGGGAAAAACTTCAATAGTGTGAGTGGTGCCCAAAGAGCCACTTTCTCTATAGTTATTTTGTAAACTGAATTTACCATCACAGGTTTTCTGCAGTTTCGAATTTACAGGATATTCTGGGGTTCTCTTTTCAACACAAGACTGAGGAGGTATTTTTGATCCATCTTCAGATGGAGATGGATGTTGGAGAGTATGTTCAGCTCTGATCAAATCAAATTCCTCTAACATTCCTTTAACCTTGTGTAAGGCACTTTCTGAGACTGTGACCCGTTTTCCACCTGCTGTACTAAATCCAGAGAATACAGATGCACTGACATTGCTTGTGCAGGTTTTGGGAAGTGACCACATACCCTCAGGGTTCTGCACCAGGGTGTTCTCGCTTCTCACAGAGTTGTCAGACTGTTCATTACTTTCCAGAGGCACCGTGGAAGGTTTAGCAGCACCATCCACCTCAGCAAACACTCGCCTCGCCTTTTCTAATGAAGCGTCTGATACCTGCACAGCTTTCCCACTTGCTGTGCTAAAAATACCGTAAGTGCGTGAAGGACAGGCTGCCTGGGGAAGTTCCCTTACAGATTTACATGTGTCCCAAGTTCCCAAATTAACAGGCTGCACTTGAGCTTTCTCCAGTCCAGACATACTTTGGTTATTATGCTGTAAAATTTGTTCTTTCTGGGTATAAACAAAAGTCTTATGTGAGTTTATGTAGTTGTCATCTAAAGAGCTAGGACGTATAAAATCCCGTGAATTGTCCAATACTTTATGACAGCTTGTGTGGCAAGTATCTGGTTTACTCTCTGTGTTTTGTTTAATTGTCTTATTGTTGTTGTCTGTGAAAATCTCTTTCACTGTTTTTACAGTTTCTTGTGAATGAGATGTAATGACCACAGGTGAGCTTACCTTAAAATTTCTTGAATCTCCTGTAGCCAACTCAATGGCTACGTTTCTTTTTGCACAGGGTGAAGAGTTAGTCTCAAGTTTCTGAACACAAGTATTTTCCTTTGCAGTTTGTGGGTATGTACTTACTTCTTCTGTAGCAGACACACTGGGGAAAAGGGCACTGTCTTTAGCATTCTTCATGTCTGGCTGAGTGTAAGAATCAATTTT